CGTTAGTCTTTGAGCCGGAACTAAAATAGATACCGGCCGTGTTCAGGCGCATCATTTAAAGGAATTAAAAAAAGAAAAATAATTTGAATAAACCGGAATGATGGAACAATCACTTCTTGTGCAAAAACATCGCCTTAAACTTGTTGAATTAACATTTCTAATTTAAATTCTGGTGATGGAGCGGTACGCATGTAAGAAACCTTGAAATTTTCTACCTTGGTTTTATTCAGAGGGAATTTTGTTATGTTATAGGACGTAGGCCTGGAATAACTTTCAGAGGACACTATTTTACATGTTGGTACCTTCGTACCCACCTGATTTGTCTCCCCCCACTCCCTACCCCCAAACATCTCTTATTAGGCAAATCCTGGTCTATAATGAAACACGCGGTTTATTAAATAGAAAATCCAGCACATTGTTATTTCTATTTTAAAACTGGTGACTTGCTAATATACTGTTACACACATTAACGAAAGAAAGGCCAGTAATTCCATAATTCTTATAGTTCATTACATAAACAAAACGTTTAAAAAAATAAATGGTAGAGTTTTTAAAAACAAATAGTAGAGAGTTTCTGATAAACATTGGCTGAATAGTTACGTCATCAAAATTTCGCCCCAAAATTACTTTACCTATAAAAGTCAATGTAGTACAAGGGTAAACGAAATCTCTTTCACCAAATTGTTTTAACTTAATTCTAAAAGATCACAAACGCCAAAACATTGAAATTACAACAGGGAAATATATTTCTATGTGGACACTCATGCGTTTAAACTTAATGGTACCCTCCTGTATATCAGCTCATTTATTTTTTTCATAAACGGATACACAATTTTTTTTAAAATAAAAATAAAAAAACAAAAAAAAAAACAACTTTGTTGAATAAAAAATAGACTAAATTATCAGTTTAACGTTATAGCAGGCGTTGTTTTGTTTTTGTTTAGAAAAAAGCCCACGATTTCGTAAAAGGTGAAATCAATACTATTCAGAGTTATGAAAATACCTTGAATTTTTTACGGGCCATAGATATTGTTAGAAATGTCTTTCAGATTTCCGAATTCTTAATAAATTAATTGATGATTTCGTAACATAACAGAAAATTTAAAATATTACAATACCTGCATGTAAATAACAGAATAACAAACAAACTCCAATCACAAAGAACATATCTGTTGGTGAGAACACCGGTGTTAAAGAATTCAAATATTCACTAAGTCAACAATGTTCTCAGCCTCACCGAAACTCAAACAAAGGGACATCATCCTAGTGGCTGGGACAAGTGCGGTAAGCTTTTTCTTAGCCATGGGGGAGGGAGGGGTGAGAGTGAAGCTAGACCAGGGACATCCGGGCCGTGGGCCAACTTGGGGTGACTGACATAGACCAGGGACATCGGGGCCGTGAGCCAACTTGGGGTGACATATAATCGAGCTCCAAAGAGATATTTGAAATCTTGTTGTCGGCGTAAGTAAAGGAAGTTAGCGTAACAAATAATAGATCTATAACATACGAGGGCTTAACCAGGGGAGTTTGTTTTTTTACACCGGGTCCGAGTATTTTGAGAAAATACCCGGTTGGTCCTAGAGTTACCAAAAAATAAATAAAAAATAGTTAACTTCTCATTTCCTATAAATATGCCTGCCTTTAAACAATAGTCCTACAGACAGTCCTAAACCCTACCTGCCGGCCTTTAAACAATAGTCCTACAGACAGTCCTACACCCTACCTGCCGGCCTTTAAACAATATAGTCCTAAAACAGTCCTACATCATACCCGTGGCTTTTTATTAATTAATAAGATAATCACCACCCTCTTTAAAAAAAAATTTACTCGAGTACTATTATGAAAGATGAAAGACTTAGAATGGGTATTCTCGTATGTAATTTTTGTAATGTTGCGTTTTGTATTTCAGTGTGGTAAAATATAGATTTTTTAAAATTTCTCTTTTAATATGTATGACTTTGTACCGCGCTTCGAGCCTTTGGGGATGAAGCGGGATTTTCAAATAAGCTTTATTATTATTATAATGATTAATTCACTTAGTACTATTAATTCACTCAGTACTATTAATTCAATCAGTACTACAAATTCACTCAGCACTATTAAATCACTCAGTACGATTAATTCACTCAGTTCATTACTATTAATATAAAACATGTGGAGTTGGGGGAAGAGGGCGGTTTTGAAAAGGAGGCAGGACGCGCCCGAAGATAAAAATACATGCACGAGATATATGAACTTACTTTCTATTTTTAGAATTAAAATTGTATTAGCAGTTTACAAGCATCTGAAAGCCTTTGCACCGTGCGCCACCTCGTTCCTGTATTGGGCCGGTGTGTACTTAAACAACTATTTCTGAATATGCTTTGTTTGACTTATCTTTCCATACTTTTTATTTTATGTTTTTAAAAGTATTCTTCCCAAGGGAGAGAAAAAAAAGGGGGCAAGGACTGGCTGTCCACATGCCTACGTTTAACCCAAACACTGCGGTTAACAATCACTAAATCACTTCCGCGTGTGGCTTCCCATGGGGGACTTTGTTGTGATCTGCTGCCTAATTATCTCCCTTTCATTTCCAGGGGAGACAATTTTCATAAGCGCAGTTGAACCACGTCATGTGTTTGTAACTTTATGATAGCCTGATAGCATTGTCGGGATGTGCTTAGTTAGCAGAATGCCCACACAGAGAAAAAGAATCTTTTAAAAACTAAAAGCTTCAAGATCAAATAAAAAGCAGCAAACGCAACAAGATCTATTTTTCTTGAATTGCGTCACAAATGCAAGAACTCTTCAACTTTGGTGAGTCTGGACATGATCAAGAAGGAAATGGCAGCAGAGCAAATGCAAGAACTCTTCAACTTTGGTGAGTCTGGACATGATCAAGAAGGAAATGGCAGCAGAGCAAATGCAAGAACTCTTCAACTTTGGTGAGTCTGGAGTCTGGACATGATCAAGAAGGAAATGGCAGCAGAGTAAGAACATTGGTGGAGTAATGTCTCCCTAATTTAGTGCTTCTCAACCTTCCTAAAGCCATGACCCTTAAATACAGTGCCTGGTGTTGTGGCGACCCCCCCCCCCCAACCATAAAATTATTTTCGTTAATACTTGACGACTGTAGAGTACAAGTGGAAGAAAGAAAACATCAACATCACAGTGAATCGTAACTGTAGAGTACAAGTGGTAGAAAGAAAACATCAACATCACAGTGAATCGTAACTGTAGAGTACAAGTGGTAGAAAGAAAACATCAACATCACAGTGAATCGTAACTGTAGAGTACAAGTGGTAGAAAGAAAACATCAACATCACAGTGAATCGTAACTGTAGAGTACAAGTGGTAGAAAGAAAACATCAACATCACAGTGAATCGTAACTGTAGAGTACAAGTGGTAGAAAGAAAACATCAACATCACAGTGAATCGTCATGAAAATTCAGAGCTGTGCCCGACCAACAGCCGAAAAAAACAGATTAGAGTTTATTTCCATCAACCCAGGTGTCACTAAGAATGTGATACTTACAGTACACGCCCTTGGTTCAAACATCACAGTTCTGCAGTCACCAAGAATCTGATATCCATAGTACATGCCATTGATTCAAACATCACAGTTCTGCAGTCACCAAGAATCTGATATCCATAGTGCATGCCATTGGTTCAAACATCACAGTTCTGCAGTCACCAAGAATCTGATATCCATAGTGCATGCCATTGGTTCAAACATCACAGCACTTTAGTCACCAAGAATGTGATACCCATCGTACATGCCCTTGGTTCAAACATCACAGCTCTGTGGTCACCAAGAATGTGATATCCATAGTGCATGCCATTGGTTCAAACATCACAGTTCTGCAGTCACCAAGAATGTGATACCCATAGTGCATGCCATTGGTTCAAACATCACAGTTCTGCAGTCACCAAGAATGTGATATCCATAGTACATGCCATTGGTTCAAACATCACAGTTCTGCAGTCACCAAGAATGTGATACCCATAGTGCATGCCATTGGTTCAAACATCACAGTTCTGCAGTCACCAAGAATGTGATATCCATAGTACATGCCATTGGTTCAAACATCACAGTTCTGCAGTCACCAAGAATGTGATATCCATAGTACATGCCATTGGTTCAAACATCACAGTTCTGCAGTCACCAAGAATGTGATATCCATAGTAAATGCCATTGGTTCAAACATCACAGCTCTGCAGTTACCAAGAATGTGATACCCATAGTGCATGCCATTGGTTCAAACATCACTAAACATCACAGTTCTGCAGTCACCAAGAATGTGATATCCATAGTAAATGCCATTGGTTCAAACATCACAGCTCTGCAGTTACCAAGAATGTGATACCCATAGTGCATGCCATTGGTTCAAACATCACAGTTCTGCAGTCACCAAGAATGTGATATCCATAGTACATGCCATTGGTTCAAACATCACAGTTCTGCAGTCACCAAGAATGTGATATCCATAGTACATGCCATTGGTTCAAACATCACAGTTCTGCAGTCACCAAGAATGTGATATCCATAGTAAATGCCATTGGTTCAAACATCACAGCTCTGCAGTTACCAAGAATGTGATACCCATAGTGCATGCCATTGGTTCAAACATCACCGTGCATGCCCTTGGTTCAAACATCACAGTTCTGCGGTCACCAAGAATGTGATATCCATAGTGCATGCCATTGGTTCAAACATCACAGCACTTTAGTCACCAAGAATGTGATACCCATCGTACATGCCCTTGGTTCAAACATCACAGCTCTGTGGTCACCAAGAATGTGAAACCCATAGTGCATGCCCCCTGATTCAAACATAAAAAAACAACTAAGTAGCCGCCAAGATGGCATCCCCGCCTCTCACACGTATAGATCAGATGGATTGGATGGCAAGATAAGAATATGAGATTGTCTATTTGAAAGAAATCTGTTGTTCAAGTTGTAAAGGAAGACACAGTTTTGTTAATGCTAAAAATATCAAACCAAAAGGAGATCACGTGATGCAAGCTTTTTATTAAAATGCAAAACAAAAAAAACAAAACTACAAAGCTGTCATTACCAAAACCGCAATAATTAAATACTTGTCAAACAGATACATTAACATAATTAATAAGTCACACAGGAACATGTCTTTGCCATACAGAAGCAATCAACTGAGAACTGTCTGTACACCAGTGGTTCTTTACATACAATTTCTATGCTATGATTCCGAGTTAAGGAGTCTTTATTTTTTGGCAGCAAACATTTTTTTTATAAACTTTATTTCTCATAAACGTCATGAAAGGGAATGGGTGATGTTTTTTTTTAAATGAAATCTTGTGAAACAGTTTTACACTTTGTGTTGATGTGCTGACGTCAACAATTTTGACTTCACAGACATGACAGTAAACTTAACATTTGTGCTTTGAGTCTAGCTACAAATGTATGTCCAGGCTTATTCTGTGTTTAATAACAAAAGGTTTGAGAATCACTGCTACAGAGCATGATGGAGATCTTGCATCTTGATAGAAGGTATTTTCACATGTGAAGTCAAGAAAAAAGGGTTCAAAATCTGGAACACACTTGAATTTGAGTGGCGGTAGTATAAATGTCATTTATATGAAGTCAAAATAGTTTTAATGACACACATTTTTTTTAAAACTGTTTTTGTAAGCAAAGAAATAATAAAATCACAGTTTAGCAATGTGGATAAAATCATGATGACAAGAATTATGTGGTTAGCATAACTATCAGCAGGGCAGCGCGAAGGAAAAAACAACTACCCAAGTATCAGTTATGTTTGTGATCGACAACAGTCCCCAAACTGTGATGCAGCCATGTTCTTGAGGCTGAGAACCACTGATATATATAAAAAAATTACCTAGCATAGAAAGAAGGCAGTGGAAGTAGGTGATACTCTAAGGCTCAGTTTACACAATCAAATTCCTTTCAAATTTTTCTTTCATACATTTGATGTGATTTTTGTATGGCAGACTACTTCCATATTAAAGAAATAAGAAATGTTAAAACTTACAGTAACTCACAATAAATTGATATATGCATGAAAATGGTCAATCAAAGATTATTTAACAGTATATTTTGTTTACTTACTTTAAAATCAATGGGCCCAAAAAGACCTGAATAAATGATTGTATATTTTAAGGTTAAATGATTGCACACCTTTTGAAGAAAGTAAAAACATGTATATGCTTTTTAAAAAAAACTTTGAGCAACCAATTTGCAATTTAAATTTTAATAGACATGGCAGTGTGGCAGCCGCCCCTGGACTGAAAACTGTATTGGCAAAAATTGAAATTTGCTTTATTTATTTATTTAGGAATTTTTATATAGCGCTTACCTTAAAGCTCTAAGCGCTTTACAATTATTAAAAACATGTAAACTAACTAAATTAAAAATGAGACATTAGGATAGTAACTACTTTATCATAAAATAAAAAAAGCAAGGTCATTTTGTTTCTGTTGAGATGAGGAAAAGGATCAGAGAATGCCATTGGCAGTAGATCTGATCAGTTTGGACTTAGACCTGATGCCTACTTTTCACATACCAGTAATCTGAGAGTTTTGCTTCATTTTTTATTCTCTATTATTTCTTGATGGTTTTTTTTTTTCTGCCAATGAAGACTTTCATAGAAATACTCGCTAATTTTGTTAATCTCATTTGTCAATGTCACCTCTACTTTTTATTCTGCAATGTCTAAAAGTTTATAAAATGTAGCCACTAAAAATATAACATCATTTTGTATATTTTTTTTCATATGATGTGTACGAAACTAAATAAAGCAAAATTTAAGAAGACAAAGTACCGTATTTTCCGGCGTATAAGACAACTTTTAACCCATGAAAATCTTTTCAAAAGTCGGGGTGCCGTCTTATACGCCGGGGGTCATCTTATTAGCTGGTATACGGTGTGTTGAAACTTCAGGAACAGGCGCCCTCTAGTTCCAGTTTGGTTGACAGTTTAGAACACAAACAGCATGGCAGCTCCCATGGGTTTATTGTCTTTTCCTTCCTTTCAGCTTTAGAGTGAATTAGGAAAAGTTTAATCCACTTGAACTGTTTTATGTTTACATGCTTGATGACACACAGCCTTATGTTTATAAGTACCTGCATCTCATAAGCATTTGAATAAAAATTACCATATTGAAATCAATTCTGATGTTTGGCTTATGCGCCGGAAAATACGGTTATATTGAGAGAAACCTCAAAATCAGTCTACATTTGATAACCACAGAATAAAACAAATAATTTCACAACAAAAAATGGAATAGTGTTTGACTTCCATGTTAGTCATTTTGAGGGAGAAAAATGTAAACGAACTTAAAGGATAAAAAGGTTAATGTAAGTAACAAAAATTGGCTTATGTTCTATTTATATTGTGGAGAAAATAAGTAGATGAACTTAATTTAACAGCCAATTTTTTTAAATAAAAAAAATCTTTTACAGATTGAACACAAACTAATGGGAAAATGCAAAAAAACTCTATAAAATTTACACTCCTTTTTGCAATGACCCACTAGTAATGTTTGCAGTGACTAAGGAAAGACAAAAATTGTGTTTTGAAATAAGATACAATAAACAGACACATGTATCTTTACTTGAAACAAATTAATTAAGCAAACATATCAAAATCTGTACATTAGTCATCATTAGTAGTATATTAATTACAGATACTCGCTCTTTAAATTTAAACTGAAGGGTTCATGCTCAAGCAAATTCAAGTAAAGTTGAACATATCCAAGGAAAAGTTTTTGTCTTACTGTTACTGACAATTCTAAAAATGATAAATGGCTAAAAATAAATTAAATAATAAATTTTTAGTCTGTAATTATAGCAACATTTTAATCTTAACAGTTAAATGAATACTGATACTGGGACCAGAGTATGAATCAAAATGTAAACAATTTTATGAAAAGTGTAACTGTAAACTAAAAGATCTGTTTGAAAAAAATATAAAGATTTAATGGTGGATGACGGGATAATGGAGGATATAACTAGCAGAACAAGCATCGTTCCATTAATGTGTATCATTTGAAATGAACAGTTTTCAAGAAAGTTAGTTGTTATAATATAACATTGAGGCTAGTGTAGCATTCCTCACAAGAAGGTTTTATTGAATGGGGATTGGCGATAATACCGTTCTGAAATTTTTTTTAAAAGAGTTTTGAAAAAAAAAAGGGGACATTTTTGGCAATTAGATAACTTTGGTGAAATAACAAATGTCTAGTAAAAACAACCATTGAAAACAAACAGTGCAGTCTCTCTTTAAAAGGACAAAGGATACAAGAAAAAATGTGAACTTATCGCAGACAGCGTGTGCTTTTAAACAAGAAGAAAAATGTGTCCAATCATATTTAAGCTTAACATAAACTATAACATTGTATTAAAACAGGGGTCTCCAAACTATGGCCCGCTGGCCACATGCAGCCCGCGAGGCTCTGTCATGCGGCCCGCGGAGATCTTTTGTAAACGGAATAAAAAATTACGCAAATGTACGTGTATCCTGACAAGATCAGACGCCGTTTACGTAGGGGTTATGTTTTTACCGAATTAAAATAGAGGCGCGCAGTAGTGCGTTATGTTTTCTAACTGATCATTACTTTGCAAAACCTTATTCGATGCTAGTTTTTCTACTTTCATTCACAGTCAATGAGATGATATAACGCCATCTAGTGGCGGAGCTTTGCCCGCCATGTTGCAGACATGGGTGAAAACATTGTGACTCAAATATCGAAAAATGCCAGCAAGTTTCACCAATTTTTATTTGCAATGGATGAATCGCTGGACAGCTGTTTCACCTCTCAACTGCTTGTGTTCGTTAGGAGTGTTGTTGAAGACATGAACATATCGCAAGATCTATACACCTCTTAAAGGCCTTCAGATTCAAACTCATCTTGTTTTTGGAACAAGTACAGGCCAACAACTTTACGCTCTTTTAGAATGCTGATAGAAACCCTGCTCGAGTGTGCAGTCGGCCCGCGAACTACTGTTTGATAGTTAATGCGGCCCTCGGGCTGAAAAGTTTGGAGACCCCTGTATTAAAATAATAGCCAAGATAATTTCAAGGCTGGTGGAGAAGGTGGGGGAAAACACGTCAACAAAAATTATGGTTGATAACTTCTCATTTCAACTGCTACTGGTAATCTGAAATCTAAAATTGCAGGCTATTTCACAAATCTTTCTGCTGCACTACCTGGAGGTTATTATTATTTTCCTCACTTGCTAAGATTGAACATACATATATACTTCTAGTGGACCAAGCAATTACATAGCAAAAATACTGATCTTGAACCCTCATCAAAGGCTAGGAAATATCCCTATATTATTCGGGTAAGAAGACACAAACTTCATTTCAGTGTTATTAAACTATAACAAGTCCTTAAGTTTTTTCACACATGGAACCTAGTGCTTGGGGGTCAAAAAAGAGAAAATACTCCAAGTTTACGGAGATCTTCATCTGTTACTTTTTGAACAAAGCCATCCATGTCTGGATCATCCCAGACACTGTAGTCGTCTGAATCACATTCAAACTTGTAGCCAGAATCTGGCTCTTCCTGAAAAGGGTTTTAAGATAATTTTTTAATCTTCTGTGATCATATTGAGTTATTTTAACAGTACATGCAGAGTTGGTTAAAATAAAAGATTACATTTTTTAAATATATTTCTTCATGGAACCCCTGTGAAATTAAAAGCTAAATTAATATATTAACAAGATATTAAATTAAATGAAATAGGTTAAATGAATTTAGTTGAGGCTATAATAAAGAACCACCTAAAATAAAAATTAGCTTTATTTGACAGTAAACTAATATCACAAAAACTATCAATTACAAAACAAATATACATTGTTAGTCAATGGTAGTCTAAAAAAACTTTCCTTGAGTTGTACATATAAAAAATTACTTGATTTTGCTCACCCTTTCTTGAAATTTTTCAGGAAATAAAATAACAGCCAACTTCTTTTTCATGTTAGTAGACTCTGAAAATTATTGGGAAAATTCACATGGAAGCATGGGAAAACATGATTAATAAATAAGAGAAAAACAGAAAATAAAATTATTGCTTTCTGAAAATACGATGAAATTTAAATTTTATTTTTAAAAAACGTTGAAACATCTCAAGTTTCTTAACTCTTTTGAAAAAGGTGGCTTAAAGTTCAAAATGACTAAAAAAAAATACAGACAATCATTGGGAAAAAAAATATATATATAATATAAACAAAAGGTAAACTTTGTTTGGTAGCATAATCCTGCACTGCTAGTTTGGTTGTGCTGAAAGCACTCTGTCCACTTTAAAATATTATAACAGATTAACAATTCATTTATAATTGGAAATGTTGCTATAAAAAGATCCAGTATTTATTTCTAGACCGCTAGCCGATGATGTCATTATAGCAATTATTAATATTAATAGCAATTATTTCAAATTGGTGCTCTGGCTACAAAAAAGCCATTGAGATAGGTTGACAATGGTGTCAACAGGTCAATAGCAATTTAAAAACTTGACCTCTGGCTCTTCTAAAACCAATGAGACAGGTTGGCATTGGCGTCATTAAGTCAACAGCAATTTAAAATTGTACCTCTGGCTATAATGAAGCCATTGAGACAGGTTGCCAGTGTTGTCATTAGGTCAATAGCAATTTGAAAACTAGACCTCTGGCTATAATAAAGCCAATGAGACAGGTAGGCAGTGGTGTCATTAGGTCAACAGCAATTTAAAAATGGACCTCTGGCTATTATAAAGCCTATAAGACAGGTTGGCAGTGGTGTCATTAGGTCAATAAGAATTTAAAGCTGGACCTCTGGCTTTCATAAAGCCAATGAGACAGGTTAGCAGTGGTGTAGCTATTGATGCACTAGGTGGACTAAGAGTTAGTGCCTACCTACAATTTTGTCTAGTAAGCATCAAACAAGTACCTCTATTAAAGTAATCTTTCACATAATTTGAAACATGTTTGGTGTCTCCAAAGTTTTCTTGACGAGGGTGTCGCACAGATTCAAAGAGCATGTACATAATTTTGTAAAGCTCTTTACGCTGTTCTTCTGGAATGTGTTCTATTGAGGAGGACAGCTGCAGAAATTTGGAAATAAACAACAACAAAATATTTAATTTAAACAAAAGCACAGATAATGGCATATTATTATGTCCATATGAGAATCTTCACTTTGAAAGAATTTCATCTATCCATTTATGATAAATTACTAACTGAGATGTGAGAATCATTTGATGTTTTAATATTTCTTAACACCTTCCCCTCCTTAAATTCTGCCATTCCCTAACCCATTCCTTTCCCAAACAACTTCCTTAATAACTAGATATTCCAAAGCCAAAATACAATTTACACGAGTGGCAACAACTAAAGTCATGATCAAATTACCTCTTCCAAATTTTTAGCCTCAAGAAATTTTTTAGCCTCAAAAACATCATTGAAGTCGTATCCTGAATATGCAAGACAGAATATCCTTATAATGCCAACAATGTCATTCTTAATGCTCTCAATGTCTCTACTTGGATCTGACAGTAACCGTCTGGCCTGGTCAAAGTCAAGTAGTTTCACTGACAGCTTATTGTCGATCATCACATTGCCAGCTGCAGAAAAGATCAATTAAAAAAAAAAAGATGACCATGTGTCATAAGGATAAAGAGCACTCTAGATTGTATTACAGGGGTTACAACTCTGGTACACATGTGAAAGGGGGGGAAGGAGAGGAGAGAACTCTATATTCACAACTAAGTAGAGAGACAACTCTAGTATACCTTACAGGAGACACAAAAACAATAATGTGTGGCAGGATTTCATATTGTTTCTTTTTTAAATGGGCAAGTAATTCTTTTTAATAATTTATTATTTGTTTCATTTTAAACTTATAAATATATATATATGTTTTTTGGCATAAGATGGGGCATTTACTCACGATGCATGTCCTGGTGAACAAAGTTTTGACTTCTCAGGGACTCGTAGGCATTTAACAGTCCCTCCAGCACAAACATTGACAGGCAAACTGAGTCATCAAGATTTTTTATATAACCCTTATCCAGCACATCTGCCAGGCTTAATCCTGAAACAAACAAAAAATAAGCTAAAAAATTGAAAGATGAATTAAAAATCATTTCAATAAATGTCTAAAATAATATTGAATGCTTCTAATTTCGGCGTCATATTGTAACCCAATAGATGTAGCTGATCCATTTACCTACTTGGGTCGCATAATATGGTCACCCAATCTATGGAGCTGACAATTATACACACTTGGGGAGCATCATCTCTGAGAACACAGTGCTAAAAGAGACATATATGCCAAAATAACTTGCTGCGCCTCCAAATAAAGTACAAGTCAGCAGAAGAGTATTTATACTATATGGTTCAGAGGCTGTCGTCTTTTACCATAAGCCCCACATAAAAATGCCAACAATCCCTGAGGACTATCATAAAACGCCCAGATTACATTTCAAGCACTGGATATGAGAGGAAAATTATATGGACAGGTCAGGCCATGTATCTCACAAGCTGTTCTAAGGAAAGTGAAATCTTGGAGTAGGAGCCGTCAGAAAATGTTACTAAGATTGCATGAAAATTAATACGAAAAAAAGTAAAAAGAAAGAAAGTACGAGAAAACATGACATTCATGAAAAAAATCAATTGTGCTTTTGCCATCCCTTTTAATGAAATTGAACATTGATCGTTTTCATTGATGCTGTGAAGGATTTTGTTAGATCTATCTGATAGTCACCATCCAGATTTACTAATTTAACATATTTGACAGCTGTGACACTTGTTTCTGTTAGAGAAGACTTTTTTGCCATCAGGTCCATTGTTTCGTGTTATCTTTTTTTCAGGTTGTCCCTTACCTTGTGTTATTTGTTTCCCAATTTTAAAAAAAAACAGTTTTGCACAAATGAAACTTACAATCCAAATTTATTAAACCACCATTGAACTAGTACAGTTGAATGAAATAAGACAAAGCTACCTTTTATAACTTCCATTTTCATGACAACACTATTATTTTCCATCTGAAAGCTATAAAGTTCTGGGGCTAAATTCTCAGCCCCTAGATGTATCCAGGCCAAAATTTGATCTCGATGAAACTGGATGAGCATGATCTGTGGATAATCCAATATTAATCTATGCATAATGGAACAATAATCTAAGGCTAATATATTCTTAATAATGCAAAATTCATGTAAAAGTATTTTAACAGTGATAATACAACATGAATAAAGAACAGTCATTTTAAGAAGGTAGTTTTCCCGGATTGAGGACCCCCACTGAAGCTAATTGTAATATTCATCTCTCCCCCCCCCCACACCCTCCCTTATTCACTCACACCATTGCAATATTTAGGATAAACAAATAATTTGTTTACTTATTTAGTTGGTGGCCCATCATATAACTCAATGTGACCTTCCAAGTTGGTCAAATAGGTCATAGTAAAAATTGAACAACACAAGCAACTTTGGTCATTTTCTACAGAATCTGTTTTGACTTTCTCATTAAGCACTTAAAAGGTTACAAAAAAAGTTTATTCTCACTCAGAAAAAAAAAAGAATGTCTTGTCATTTATTCATAAGCAGTAACAAAGTGAATTCCATTTGTTCTTATTTAGAGTAGATAGTAACACTTGAATCCCCCATCAAAAATTCCTTCAGAAGTAGGCTCAAGATTTCACTCACTGTTTTCAGGGCAATATTGTTTCCTGTCTGCTTGTCTTTGACGAGGATTACCTCTGAATAAGCACCTTTGCCTAATACAGTGAGATTTTTTATCTGATCCACATGATCTTCAAATTCTAATTTTGTAGAAACCTGAAATAAGGTAAAATGGATTGTTAGTCTTAACCCAGGACTAAGATTACAATAATAATCCAACAGTTTTTTAAAGCAAATATTTATATAACCAAAAAAAGAATAAATTTTTTTTTAAAAGCCACATAAGCTGTTTATACATAAACAATTTTTTAAATGTGTATTTCTTAGACAATTATAGGCCAGTAACTGTTTGACATAAGTAGGCAGTCACAGAATAAATTTGTAGATGTGAAAACTTCAGAAAGCAATGAAAAAATATCAGTGGCAAAACATTTCTTGGGGTTTATATGATAAGACCTGCTTACTACGATATTATCCTCCCCGGGGATCTGATTGGCAAGTCTGCTGTGACTTGTCGATTGAGAGGCGCCAGCCACCGGACCCCGTTGGCATTACCCAGGGAACAAAACCATCATTGCGTGTCGTGCGTGGGCAGACAAGGGAGATGCTTGGTAGCTGCCAAAATAAAAACAGCACCTACAGGGCTGCCAACTGTGACGTTTTACAGTTGGAAGTAAAGACAGAGACAGGGTAGGGGTCATGATTAAAAGTTGCCGTTAATGGACATGAGGCAAGAAGCTAAGGTGAAAGCCTCGAGCCGACGATTCTAAATATGCAGCCCTGAGACAGCTGCTCCCAGCCAACCGTTTCGTCCCAGCTACTTCGCAAACTAGTTGCAGGGTGGAAACCCACTGTAGAAACCCTTTTAAAGGGCATCGGACGCTTCCCCAGGATGGCTGGGGGGAAGATATTAGGATGTAAATGTACCATCCCGACTCACTGGGAGAGTTGGCTGCGGACACTTTAAATGCAGTATGTTCAGGTCGACCAGATGTCCTCGGTGGTCCAGGTTGGGGAGGTCCCCGACATGCCACCACACGGTGGGTATCAGGGGAACCTGGTGCTTGGGCTGTGGGGGGGTATGATGGGGGGGGGCGCATTAAGAGCTAACGCTCTACGACCCACGGATGCCATTTCTCAATGTAACATTTTTAGTATGATGCTATCTATTAGCATTATTGTCCAAGCTGTGATGATTCTCAACAGGCTTACCATGTTTACAATAGTATGATGTTATCATCCAATCAGCATTCAGATCCCCGAATTATCCCCCCTCACTACTTAGGTTTTAAAACAACAAAAACATAATTAGATATTCTAAAATTTGACATTCCCCAATTGAAATAAGTATTTGTTACTATTTAATTTAAATATATATTTTTTAAAGTCTGTGTGCATAAATCTATTCAGTTCTTTCCATATAAATAGGAACATGTGGGAAGAATTGGCAAAGGATGGAGCAATGTGTCATTCATCCTTACACAAAGGCTCCATACAACATAAGCCCAACAGAACAACAGCTGTAGAGTAAAAATTACAAGCCAGAAAGCCTGGCATAGCTCTGCGCCTGATGATGTCCAATATCCACCCCTTGCACTTTCTGCACAGGAAAATTTCATGCCAGAATCTATTTCATTAGCCATCTGTGCACCCACAGAAATGATCAGAACCAGCATGAATCCAATCATTAAAATAGTCATTATCAATTTTGATGGATGAACTAAGAATTATTTGTTTCAAACAGTGCTGTATTTGACATGCTAGCGTTTGTAGATGGAAATTTCTAAGAATTAAAAAAAGTGAAGATGTTAGGAAACTTTTGCTAACAAAAAGAGCTCATACTAGTTCAAAATAGCATATTAAACAGGAAGGTAATTTCAAAATGGATACCTTTTCTGGATTCAGGACAAGCCCCCTTGGTGTTTTACTATCCCTAGCATCTTCAATTAATTTGAACACTGCATTGATTTCTTCGAATCTTTTATTTGCATCTACTTTTTTAACAACGAAGCTCTGTTCCTTTGGACCAAACTGAAATGGACTATTTACACATACAAATAATATTGTTAATGTTAAAGATCAAACGTGTAAACTTTAAATACTTATTTGATGTTATGCTTAACAGTCATCAAAAGAAATGGTTGGTATTCAAGTTAAATAAATCCATCCATCCCTTTGGCCCTACAGCCTATGTAGGGCTTTGGCCTGCCTCACTACTTCCTTCCACTCAGACCTAACTAATGCTTTACTTTTCCATGCTTGGATTCCCAGCTGCTGTAGATCTTTTTCCACATCATCCATCCATCTAAGCCTAGGTCTGCCTTTGAGCCGTTTTCCTCTGGGGTTTTGGTGATGTACCCTCTTCACTCCTCTGTCATTTGGCTTTTTTCTAAGTGTACTGCCTAGCGTAGCTTACCCTTTTTTTTTATTTCTGATACTAGCGTGGGATCCTGATATAGACTCTACAATTCCTGCCATTTTTATTCATCCTTCGTTGGTCCATATATTTTCCGAAGAACTGTTACCGCCCATGTGTTTAATTGGTTTTCTGACGTTTTTGTTAGGGTCCAAGTTTCACTTGCGTATGTTACAACTGGTCTGATTACAGTTTTGAAAATAGTTTTCTTTGTTTTTCTTGTAATGTTTTTACTTTTGAGTATTTTGTGACTAATGAAGTATGCTCTGTTTCCAGATGGTATTCTTTCTTTTATTTCTGTTAGTAATTTGTTTCTTTCATTTAATAAAGATATTAGGTATTTGAATTGATTCAATCTTTCAAAAGTGTGTTTTTTAAATTTAAATGGCTTCATCTGTCTGTTCTTCTCTTATCATAGTCATGTATTTTGTTTTTTGGTTGTTAATTTCCAGCCCTGCTTGTATTATGTGTCTTCTAATTCAATAAAAGCTTTTGATGTCTTTACTACTTTTCTTTAATAGTGCTATGTCATCAGCTTATGCAAGATACTGAAGGAGTTGATTGTAGAGAGTACCCAATGGTCTCTCTCAAAAAGTATCCTGTTATTGTTCCATGGGTGTCTATATGTATGCCTCTAACAACTCTCTAATGTTAGGTTAAATAGCATACAAGACAGTGAGTCTCCTTGTCTTAGGCCTCGTCTACTCTGAAATTCCATTGAATATTTACCCTGAACCTTGATTTTGCTTTTTGAGTTATTCAATGTTACATGTATCAGTCTTGTCAGTTTGTTAGGTATGCCAAACTCCTGCAGAATCTCATGGACATATTTTTTTTTATGCTGCCACAGGCCATTTTATAGTCCACATAGAGTTGATGCACTGGGAAACTATATTCGTAACCTTTCTCTAATAGGCATCAGATGGTTAAATCTGAACAGTCGTTGATAGGTTTTGTCTGAATTTTGTATGTAACATTTAATAGGGAAATTCCTCCGTTATTAGTGCTGTTGGAATTTTCTCTTCTTGCCAAATTTTAGTTATAAGTTTATGCATCTGAGTGTGTAGTTCTTTTCCTCCATATTTAATAAGTTCTACTGTGATGAGGTCTTCTCCAGGGGCTTTGTGGTTTTTCATATAATTGATTACTTCTGTAGTTTCTTCTAGAGTTGGGAGCTTATTAAAGGGTCTGGTTCTCCGTGTGGTGGTTCATAATTGTCATCTTATCTATTGTCTGCATTTTGTATGTCCTGAAATTATTCAGCCCACCTCTCCAGGTTGAATAAATACATTATAATAATAAGGCGCCGTACCCCAAAAAATATAAATATTTACGTTAGAAATTGTTCAGTAAACAGCTCAGTTAAAAGAAAAAAAATTTAAAACAGACAAAATAAAAATTTTATTCAATCTCATTTATTTAAAATTATAAATGATTATTACTTACTTATACTCATTTGAAAGATTGAATTTCCCAGTACTCGCTAATGTAGCTGAAATACAACCAGAATTAAAATAAAATTTAATATTTTATCTGTCAAAGTCTAGCTTTAGGAATTAAGATTCTGGGGAAAATATATGAATAAGTTTGAGAAAAAAATTTATTATGCACTGCATTAATGGTATTAGTATAAAGGGTGTTGTTCAGTTGATACTCTGAGACAAAACTTTTTAAGTCCTGGGGGTCACTCATTTATAACAATTTCACTAAGGCATTAAGCTTGAATAAATCAAGTACCAGGTATAATTAGTCCGCATTGCATTATCAACTCATGCGATATTTTTGTTAAAAATATTCTTTTTTAATAATTTTCTCCACAACACACCTTAGTGGCTATAAAACCACCTTGGTGGTTAACAATGTTCACATTAGACTTAGTGGCCGAAAATACATGAATTGACTTGCATCAACCTTACCTGTTCCTTTTTGGACAATATTGGCTAACCGCTTGTTTTTTATGTCCAGATCTTGCAGTGAGTCAGATGCTAGAAAAGACAAAAACAAAGAAATATTTTGTTTAATGAATATAGAATTTATGATAAAGATCTTAATTTCAATTTTTAAATTTACAGGTAACAAAGAAAACCATCCTAACTATCTATAAAGAGTATTACCTGAAGTTGGGGATTCTTCCATTTTTTTTTATTGGAGTATTGTTGTAGGTTAATTGAATTTGATAAGTTTAATTCCTAAAAGAAAAGAGAAAAAAAAAAGTTAAAATCATTTTCAGTACAACCTTACTGTTTCTTTGATTCTTTGTTTAAATTAATTAAATTAGGAAAAAAATTTAAAACACAAGTCAAAATAAGTTCTAAACAAATTAATCTGATATTTCTTCAGCCTCATTTTTGTTAAGATTGAAATATAAACAAGCATACACATAGGTCCTAATTTACTTTTGATTATGCTACTAGTGATGGGGCCCAGAAAAAACAGGATAATGTGAACAGTTTTAGACCTTTATCTGGTTCAACTCTTTATTCTAATGCAGTGGTTTCCAAACTTTTAATGTTGGTGACACACTTTTTAGACATACATCTTTTCATGACACAACATTCAGTTACACCACTTGAAAGGCATAAAATCCAGTACCTGTATATGATCTCATTGACTATTAGTAAAGCAACCAAGTAAATTAACTCATTAGATGCTTAGATAGTGTCTATTAATTCCCTGATGGATGTTGGAATCTGCTAATTTTTAATACATTTTAAAAGCTCGGTAAATTATTCGAACAGATTTTAGAAAACACAAATTATTGTATTTTTAGTTTCAGGGTAAAATGATGGATTAATTTGTTTGATACCATACTTTCAATTGCGAGATAATCTTAACAATGTGGCCAAGGCCAATGTTCATGACTAGATAATAAGCAAACCAGTTTCATAAAATATTGATAGCATAAATGAAACTTTTCTTTAACACTTTTAAGTGCTGGTACTTAAAATTCTGGGGTTGATTCTTGCATCGTTTCCTCTATAGCTGCTGCATTTTTTCACTACATTGTTCATCACCAGCTTTTGTTTTCTTAATTAAAAACCTATTCCTTTTAATCATTGTGCAGCGCTAACGTAATGTTAAAATGTGCCAATAAATTCTAATATTTAAACTAAAGTCAAAAACATGAACCTAAAGGCACCATTTAACAATGATAAAGCATCAGAAGATCCTGCAATATATAGAGCAAAAAAATTTTTTCGGAACGGTTGCTGGATTAATATTTTTTTTAATGCTCTATCTAGCAAGAAAAAGGCCACTCACGCCAAAACAAATTGTACAAACCATATCAACTTATAGACTATGGTCACAAAAAGGTTAAAAGCAATTCAAAGTGCTTTTCTAGGAAAAAAAAGATCATTTAAGAGGCCATGAGACAGAAGAATGCAATGATGTCAAACACTGGTTGGCTCTTTTGATGTTAAATTCTATGGTATTTGATATGGGTTTATTTTAGCATGATAAATGTACAAGTACAAGCTGCTGGGAATTACTAATGTGTCACAATGTAAACATACACAGTTTGGAAAGCTCTGTTCTAATTATACATCTATCATTAGGTTCTCAAAAACTTTATTTATTTATGCAGTTTCTTTTCATTTCAATCAATGTTTCATCATCATCATCATCCTGTCCCTTAGTCCTCGAACCGTTGGTGTGTCACACATGACATGAAAACTATCCTTCTCCATTCCTCTTTGTTTTCTGCACTTCGCACAGTTTTAGTCCCGTCCACTCCTTGTTGTTTTCTTCCCATCTTTTTCTCTGTTGTCCTCTTCTTCTCCCTCCTCTCGTGCCCTGCATGATTTTTTGGCAAGCCCTTGTTTTCTTGTTACGTGGGCATACGATTCCAGTTTGCGCTTTTTTACAGTCACCAGGAGGTCATCATACTGCCCAATTTTGCTTGACGAATCCTTTCTTTCACTTGTTTATTAGAGATATGGTCTCTATAGCAGATTCCAAGAATGTTTCTGAAACATCTCATCTCCATCGCCTTTATTTTACTTTCATGTTTTGTTTGTATTGTCCAGGACCCACCGCCATACAAGAAAATGGAGAGGACTAATGAGCGCATCAGCCTGATTTTGGTGCTGGGGGCTACATTTTTGTGATTCCATATTTTCTTATGTCTCTTTAGTGTGGTATGGGCAAACCGGGACATCAATTCGGGCTTGGAGCCTTCTTCCGAGACTATTGCTCCTAGGTACTTGAAGTCGCGTACTGTCTCTAATCTTTCCTCCCCGACCTTAATTTCAGTGGAGATGCAGGTGATGTTATTCGTCATCAATTTTGCCTTTTCTGCACTGATTTACATGCCAAAGGACAATGAAGTCTTGTCAAGACACTTTAATAGGTTGGCTAACTCTTCTTCGTTTCCAGCCAGTCCATCAATGTCATCCGCAAATCGCAGGTTGGTGATTGTTCTGCCACCAATGCTGACTGCATTGTTTTGTAAATGAATTCTTTTTCTTTACCTGAAATTGAATTATTATCTTAGACATAATTATTAACTTTAAAAATGTCATAGACTTAAGACCCTGTTCAGAATTATTATAACATATTAAAAGCATATTATTTTTCAGATTCAGTGAGCTTCTCTTTCTTCTTTTCAGTTAAGAGAGGGTCTAGTAGGCCTACTTTAGTCAGTAAATTGTTTACATGTAAAATTTTAAACAAATGAATTATCTTCCTTGTAATAATATAAAATAAACAATGCCATGGCCAACAAACAGCAGGTTCATATTGCAAATATTTCGCCAAGAAACATTTTGAAAACTTACGACACAACACCGAAGGCAGTAAATGACTGTGTGCTTTGGTTAGTGTGGCTGGCTGAACACAGTCTCATAACTGTCAACTTCCCATGCCTTAAGTCTGATGTGCTGAGTCATCTGATGGTTAACCAAGGAAATGCGGTCCAGGAAATATGAGATGCAGTATACGCACCTGGTCATTTTTTGCAAACTGTGGGCTTTGCACACAGAAAATCGTGATGATGATATTCTATTGGGTTTAAAGTGAAATGCAAGCATGGTATGCTTCTCGAAAGCTTTGAAAGTTGGGATACCATAGTAAACTACAAAATTTTCCAATTTGAGAGTCACTATTGGTTTCAAGTTCAACAAAGTGGTCCAATGGTCTAAACAGAGATGATTCCAAACTTGTTATCTGGAGTTCAATCCCTACCAAAGACCAAGTCAAGAAAATATTCACCAGGTGGATGGGATCCATTAACCTTGGATGACAACTCATCCAAGAGAAAGAAATACTGAATCAAAAACCCAAGGATAAGAGTCCCATAGGCGGATACATCGATATAATGAAAAATTCTGACAACTCTGGTGACAGTACTGATGCCAAGCTGTATCATCCATATATGGGGACAAAAATTCCAGGAATTGTGATTTCGTCCAGCGAAGTCTGCACCATTGAGCCCATTGTCATATTGGTTAAATTTAACTTGTTAGGCCCCCCAAACAAAATTGTTTTTAAGCCCCTAGCTCTATATGGTCAACTATAGGTCAACAAGCTATATATTTTACCCCCAAAACTTGTGATCTACTTTTCCTACTTCTGCACCATTTTTCCCACTACCCTTTTTATTTTTAAAGATAATTGCACCAAAGCTTTTTCTTTAAATTACATCAAGACTCAGTAATTTTGGATAATTTTATTTAAAGTTTAGGCGCTGATAATAGATGATGTATTTGTTTACGTCTAATGCTCTACTTAAATTTATTCTTTTTTTTTTATTATGAAGATCGTGATCTTCATCAGCCTCTTCATCATCATCATCTTCTGAAAGAAGAAGGAAAATAAAGAAAAATTCAATAGAGATACAAAATTTATCTCTGTTGAATTGGGTTTTTTTTTGTATTATTAGACGGCTTTCAGTAAGCGACACTAACCAAACCATACTCATACAGTGCCTTCGGCGTTTTTTCATAATATTGTAGAATATTTCCTGACAAAACATTATTTGAAATATGGTGTTGTGTTGTAGTGTTGTTTATTTTAGTCTGCGAACAAAAATTGGAGAAAAATTTATTTCACCAATTATGGGGGGGGGGGGGCTATTAAACTATTAGGCTGGTAGCCGACACTTTCGTAACGAAAGTGAAAGGCATTCAATTTTTTTAATTTGGGACCACCCTTCTGAGGAGTGAGGAGTGCCTGTTAATTGTTTAAGTTAATTAAACTATGACGACCATGGACCATGGATGAACTGATTTATTTTATTTTTTTAAATGTGATTTTTATTATTAAAATTTTCCCTTAAAATTTAAACGTAAGCCTACTACACGAAAATACATGAAAAACTAATTGGAAAACAATAAATAAAAATACATGTTAAAGTAACCACTGAAGTTTTTTAATGCAGCTACATCAGGTAAATAGGAATTTTCCTCTGCAGCATCTGAAATTGACAGTTTCATTTATAGTTATAGTAACTTATAGGCTGATTCTTTCACTGTTACTGTTACCTTTACTGAAAATCACTGTACTATGCGGTTTCCCTAACGACCGAGTTCAGTCAGGTCAGATTTTGTTTTCTTCTGCAGATTAGCAACCAAAAAATTGTATAATTTTTTTTTTATTTAAAATCTCACATACTTTTAATCTATACAAATAATTAGCACTTTGTGTCATTATTTATAAAAACATGAAAAAAGGACATTAAAACTAAAATTAATAGTTTCTAAACTATTTCCCCCCAAAATTTCAATTTTCTACAAATTTGATTAAAATACCTTTGAAATTTCCCAGGAGTTAGGGAAGGTTAACTATTACTGAATTTACTGCCTGGAGTTAATTTAATAAAGGATACACGTAAGTTTACATGCAAAATTGTCAAATTCGTGAAAAAATAATATTCACACTTAAATGAACTTTTACCTGTAGGTAGCGTAATTCATACTGTGGATTAATTGTTATTTCGTTTAAAAAAAAAAAAAAAAAAATTAAAAAATACGCAAAATTAAAAATTCAAAAAAAGAAAATAAAAAAAAAACTGTGGATTAATTGTTATTTCGTTTAAAAAAAAAAAAAAAAAAAAATTAAAATGTGCGCTAAGTTTAAAATTCTAGACATGGAAATGGTGAATGAATGTCCTCCGTCTTGCAAGGGAAATTACAATAATAAAAAATCAAAGCTGACATTTTCCGATTTATAAAATATGCCATTTTATACAAAGATGGATTGCAGCAATATCCAGAACAGATTTCAAACCAAAAGAATATTCTAGAGTAAGTGTACTCATATTGCATCTGCATATTATTTTAGCCAGGGCTGGCCTTTAGAATTAAACTGTTATTAAACTTAAGTTATGAGATTTAATACACCATCTCATATATATTTTGCTTTTGGTATTGCTGCTTCCTTTTCACACACCCCTCCCCAACTTACTCTACATGTTTTATATTAATAGTACTGAGGGGGGGGGGGGAAGCTATCAAGCAGCGAGCGTCATGAATGACAGTTGAACTCAGATAGTAAATAGGGGGATCTGCACTTTCACCCAAATATTAATTGATACCTATATGAGATACACGTCTGCAAAACAAGGTGGCTGCAGATTGCAATATAAACAGCAGTCATCTACTTTTTACCTTCATTTATCTTCTTTTTGGTGCCAGCTTAACTGGATCCCACTTGACACGCGATGCAAGTAGTTATTACATTCATTATGGATACTGAATGTTTATTTATTTACTTTTAAGATACTGTATTATAAGGTTTTGTGACGATATTGTATAAATTTAGGAGTTTGAGGGTAAACAGGTCTGCCAATAGAATACTTCAAAAGTATTATAGATCTAGAGATACTAGAAAAACATCGTGGAGGAGTCAAACAGATACAGTATTCAAAGTGACAATCTTCAACTGAAAATTACGAAGGATGAGCTTGAGCTATTCTTTGGAATTGTCTTCTACGTGAGTATTTGTAAGCTGCCACGAGCCCGTCTGTATTGGGGCTCTTAAACAAGGATACCTCATATAGCAGATACCATCTGTCAATAACGTATTAAACACATTTTAACAAATCTTCATTTTTGCAAATAATGAAGAAGCCAATGGAGATTAATTGCACAAAATAAAATTTATTCTCAACGCTTTAAGGCCAAGGTCAACAGCTTACCCAAACAAAACTTTTAAGTATTGATGAGCAGGTTATACATTTTAAAGGGAAATCATCTCTGATCAATACAACCCCAAAAAGCGGCGCTACAAGGTGTTCGTTTTTTTCTGGCCACAACAGTCTAATACATGGTTTTGAACTCTACATATGGAAGATAAATCCATGCCCAGGACAACCACCTGACTTGGGGGCATCACCCAGGTCAAACTGACTTGGGGGCATCACCCAGGACAACCTGACTTGGGGGCATCATCAAACATTGTTCTTCGGCTCCTAAATGATGTTCCTCGAGGTGTCTGGCACCAAGTATATTTTGATTAGAGACCGACCGAAAGTGATTTTCTGATTTCGGCCGAAGCCGAAAATAGGCCGAAAGTTTAAAATGACTTTCGGCCGAAACCGAAAAAAGGCCGAATGTTTAAAAATGACTTTCGGCCGAAACCGAAAAAAGACCGAAAGTTAAAAATGAATTTCGGCCGAAACCGAAGCCGAAACCGAAACCGAAAATGAAATATTAAGATATTTTGAAATTCGTTCCCGCATACATTCTGCTTACATCGAAAATGATGTGGGAAAATATAAATATTTACATTCTTTTTATAAAAATGAGATAATCGTAAATATTAATAAATAAAAATCTAATTTAGGGTTCTCAAACTTGCGGCCAGCGAGCCATTTGTGACCCGCAAGACGATATTTTGCGGCCCGCTACATGACAGAAAAGTTTAGTGTAAATGCGCCGGCCCGTTTCCCCCATTCTCATATCCATAACGTGACTCTCAGCGATGGTTTCAGTCGAATCTCACCGACTAATCTAATTCTGATTTTTTTTTTTTAATGTCTCTATATATTTTTGTATGCCAGCTCTCTGGCAACAGTGAGTAGGTGGATGAAAGTGAATCCTAGTTCTTGAGAACCCTTAATGATTTTTTGGTTATTTTTAAAGGTTGACCAGATTGTAACAGTTGTAATCGCTTTTTTGTGGATTACTTGATGCGGCCCACTCTCATACAGACACTACCTCCTGTGCCCCCCCCCCTCCTCCCATAATTTGAGTTTGATACCCTTGATCTAATGAATACTTTGGATTTTACCATTTTAATATAAAACTAATTTAAATTGCTTTACAACTTTTTTTCAAATTTGTATGGTAGGAGAAAATTTGGCAGAAATTGGGGGG